TCCAAAAATTTCAGAATTTTTTGTTAAAAATGTATCTATGTAACATTAAACATTTTAATAAAAAATTTAATTTTTTACATTAAAAAAAATGTTGAAAAAATCCTGTTTTTTAGCCGAGCCATGTAACCACTTAAATATACGAATTGGATAGTGTTCGAGTTTTTCTACTTTTTCGCCTATTTTTGGTTACCTTTGTCGCACTTTAAAGCCACCAATTATGCCAGTTTATACTCTATTAKTTTTATATCCAATATCCTATATACTCTGTATCCTTTGAGCAACAGTTAAAGTCTACAGTGAGGGAAATATTTACCGTAAACACTACTGAACACCACAAAAATCAACAAAAACTGCCACAAGTTAGGCATTTCACGATTTAGCAAATTCTGTGACGACTAAATAAGAACTAACTGTAGTTTGCACAATTTTCTTCATTTATATAAATATATGTGTATAGATGTATGTATGCTTAATAGAATTTTTCACAAGTGTTAAACCCCTGGAGATCTTCGTTGCGCTCATGGTAAAATGGTTTTGTTATTCCAACGTTTGGGTTAACCGATACTCGATATCAATGATCACAATGCCAGAACACCAAAATGAGACTCCTGCCTAACAGAATCACTAAATTACGATTGTAACAATTAGAGACATCAGACAATCGTCTCAGGCAGAATACCGATAATAATATCATTGTTGATGAGACAAATAGTTTCCTCAAACCTTAGAACATACATTACACAGAGTTTCCTCGAAGCATCTGTTAAAAGAACGTGGCGAACTCTAATTATAATCGTCATCTATCCATACAACTCTGTAACCTATTAGAAATTGCACCCTAAATAACGATGTGTATTAGAAATGTAGCTTGTGATGTCAAGCTGTCAAAATTGTGTGAACAAAGCACACTTCATAAACCTATAACAACCAGGGATTTCAACTAAAAATGCTAACCGAACTTCAACCTTCCTTACGAGMTTCACTGGAAATATATTATSTATAATTAAATTTTATACATTATTATATATTGGAATTCCTGTTATAGAGGTTAAGCCCACATATTGCAAATATTGAGCGAACTATTGTCGATATCGGAGGGGTAGGTTGTTGCATTATTATTTATAAAATGATACAATTTTCAGAAGATAAAAATATTTTATAAATAAATATGTTTTATAACAAATAATCAATTACATTGAACTTTTAATTAGAGAGCATGATAAAAACATGCTGTTTATAGCTAAAGATTTTAAAGAGTTACCAGGCAGAGTAGCCTCTAAAAGTGGTTGCATAAATTTCGTATAGACCACAAGAGCACTGCAGACGTTGGACGTCCGAAAGAGGAACGAAGATATCAAAAAACCCACACGGCGTTTTACGTATTATATTGCTACCCTTTTTACTTTTTGTAGCAGAACTATAGCATCATTGTTTTCTAAAACGGAACGACGACGCCAGTGGCCTATTTACATACTACAAAAATTACGTGATGAAATTCAAATCTCTGAACGTATTTTAAATACTCATTTGTAATAGAGTGCAATTGCAACCATACTGAGAAYTCGAAATTAAAATGAATGCCGAGCCACGTASCGRCGGAAAGTTCARCCARCCGTATGGTGGATAAAGTTTGTGAGTCCTTATGTGAGTAAGTTTATKTAAAATAAGTAAGGAGGGTTGCAGCAGCAACAACATTTAATAGATGTCTGCAATAAGTAAGAAGCAAAGAATGAGATAAATGAGATATTAAACACATTCAATCAGAGAATCGAATTAAATATATATAGTATACAGCGTTTGTCCGGAAAGTAATAGGACTGAGTCGATTTAAACAAATTTATTGGACCAATCGTGACAATTGTTTGAAAACTTTCGAAATAGGCTTCTTTTGCGTCGCTGCAGTACTGCCAGCGTGATTTCCAAGCATTGAAGGCGTCACGGAAGGCATTCTCCGGAATAATCTWGAGAGCCGAAGTGCGTTGGATTCCCAGGAAAAAATTCCTCTTTGTCGCGGAATCATGCTCAAAGATCCATGAATGTCACTTGTGATTACTTTATTCAAAAATTTTGCCTCACTTTCACACATGTTCAACATTTCTTGGCTCTTTTGGGATCATCTTCGTGCACACCTTGCTTCATCACAATGTCATGAACCACAGATTTTGATAAATTTAACAGCTGGGCAATGAGGCTAATCGACTTCACCGGGGTCTGAAATATAGTTATATGTATTTCTAGATTCCAGCATAAGAAAATTCCTCAAGCTACCTGGCTGTCTCCGGATCGAAAAACCACCAACCAGAATGATCATATTGTGATAGAAGGAAGACACGAATTAGTGTGCGTGCGCTCCGAGGTCCTAACATCGACTCGGACCACTATCTTGTTGTAGCCAAGATACGCATCTACTTCTATTCAGAACGTGTTTCTACGTACGTCGACAAACAAGGTTCGACGTCGAGAAGATGCAATCACAACATATAACCGAACAATTTTCTACTCGACTTGAACTCCTGCGCTCTGAGAACACTCGTCAAAAACTCGGTATGAGGGAACTGTGGGACGGCATTTCAAGCTCCTGACTTACTTACTGAAATCGAAACCATTGGTTTTCGGAAATTGCAAAAGAACGGGGGGTATGATGAGAAGAGCCATGCCATAGCGGAGAGAAAACAGACAGCTTACCTCGCAACGTTGCAACCGATCTCAAGGCGTGCGGGATGAGATGGATACCGAGAGTTGAACAAGGATGCTATAGCATTTGCTGACAAAAAAGGATACCTCTCTCCATCAGTACATGCTCGAAAAGATGCGGTGACTCACAGAAGGTTTCAAAACCGTAGCATACTCTTGTAGAACCCTCGAAGAGATCAAGTGACTGATGCTCTGGGCATACTGAAATTATKCCTGCTGAATGGCAGTGAATGTATAATGCCAGGAATAGGCGAACCCGATTCCCCAATCGATGATGATGGAGCAGACGTTCCATTGCCCGACCACGMAGAAGTTCGAATAGCAATTAACCGTCTGAAGAACAAGCAGCGGGGCCCGATAGATTGTCGGCCGAGCTATTCAAATACAGCGGCGAAGAACTAATAAGGAGCATGCATCAGCTTCTTTGTAGAATATGGTCGGACGAAAGCATGCCCAACGATTGAAATTTAAGTGTGCTCCGCCCAATCCACAAAAAGGGAGAACCCACAATCTCAGCGAACTACCCTGGGATAAGCCTCCTCAACATCGCGTATAAGGTTCTATCGAGCGTATTGTGTGAAAGATTAAAACCCACGTCAACAAACTTATTGGATTATAAGTTTGGCTTTAGACCTGGAAAATCCACAATCGACCAGATTTTTACCATGCATTAAAAAAATTACYCGTGAAAGGAAGATCGACACACGGCACCTCTTCGCCGATTTTGAACTTCGACAGCACGAAGAAGTACTGCGTCTATGTCGCTATGTCGGAAATCTGAATTGGTATCCCCACAAAACTAGTACGGCTGTATAAGCCATCGTTGAGCAGCATTAAAAGCTTCGTCAGGAAGAACCTCTCCGAGCCGTTATAGAGAAGGGGACTTCTTCAAAATATTGCTGAAGAAAATAATACGAGCTGCACAGCTAATTAGAGATGGTATAATCTTCTAGAAGAGTGATCACCTGCTGGCTTTCGCCGATTATATTGATATCATTGGCCTCAACAACCACGCCGTTATTCTCCAAACTTGATAAGTAAACGAAGTAAATGGGTCTAGTAGTGAACGACGGCAAGACGAAATATCGAAGAGGAAGACTTCCACACCGTTGGAAAGACTAGCTGGAGAAAGACCTAACTAAACTTAGAATGGCACCACATACGGAAGAAGAAAAATGATTAGCGCGCTGTTGTAAACTCGGCTATAACCGCGTAAGCGATGTACATAGATGCCAACAAATAAGAAGATATTAGCTCTAAAGTGTGGCATCTCTAATAAAAAATGATCGGGTTTTGGCAAAAACTTTTCTTAGTCTATGCGTATACTCAAACGTTTACTTCAGTTGCACYTAAGCTAAAATATGCTTCATAAATGCAAAAGATTCCTTACAATCATTTTTTTGTGGCAACTATATGCCGTGCGATTCGACCTGACAATAGATAATAACCCGTGCCACCCTCGTGCAGACATCTTTCATTCAGTTTGAATGACAACTATATGCTATAGTGATCCAATATCGGTCGTTCCGACAAATGAGAGGGTTATTGGGACTAGAGTAACCCTCGTGCGAAATTTGATTTCTATAGCTTAGTTATTTCCGATTAATCCATTTTGAGGAGCGTCAATGGTCCAATTTCGTCCACATTGGTGAAGCACCTATTATATTCTGTTCAATATTGGAATTMAAATGAGAAAGCTGAGCCTTATTACACCTATCATAGGTTAAATATATAAAAAGGATATACGTTTATTTCCATCATACTTATCTTTATACATAAAAGGTACGTGTCACGTTGTTTGTCCGCGATGGACTTCTAAACTACTGAACCGATTTTAGTAAGATTTAGCACACTGTGTCCAGTTCGGACCAACTTAGAAGATAGGATAGTAAAAGTAATTCAAATATATAAAAATACAGTGAAAGCTCTATTAAATGGGCGTTTTATTAAGCGGACAACTCTATTAACTGGACAGAAAAATGTTTTCGATTTTATTCGAAAATTTTGCTGTATTGAATAGTTTATTACATGAATACTAGTATAAAATAGTAGTACAGCAACGCGTGGTCGAATCCACTAGTAGTCATATATAATATAAATACATACTTATATAACAAACTTTAGTTCTTATAACTCCAGCCAACTGGTAGTTCGTAATATGGAGTTCCAACACCCATAGCATTGGCCCAAAAGTTCTTTAACTCACAACAAAACGTATAACCTTTCTTAGTATCTGTAAATTTGGTACAGTCCAAACTATGCTTTTTACAAATTTGTCTACAAATATTGTTACAAAACTCCACTCCTACAGCATTTCTTACAAATGGGTTATTCAKCGTGATAAAGACGATATCAATGGCGAAACTAGGATGCATCACCACCTTATAGAACCATTTTGGCACAGCAATCGTTTGATGTTCATCCAAATATATGCKAGTATCGCGAGAAGTCAGTGGATTTCGCAACTCTAATACGCCTAAAGTACCGGTGAATACCAATAAATCAGATCGCTGCGAAGAGGCGATCTTGCGCACAGCGTTCTCCACGCGTACCCAATTTCCGGCATTCACGATTTGCCACTCGGGAGCAACGTTCGCATAATAGAAAGTGGCAAACTGTTCGTAACAAAAAATKAAGTCTGCAAATGGTGCGATATGMCCGCGYGCAAGGAAACTGGCMYTATTRWTGAAGRTTTGSTTGASACCAAAAAGYGYTTCGAAGTKTTTTTGTTGAGTAGACTTTGTATATAAGTCATTCAGATTACGGCTCATACCTTCACTTCTRAAAAAAGATGGGCGGCAATCATACTTCGGTCGACCTAAATGTAAAAAAAAAAAAAATTAAATACAAGTAATTGATAATATCAAATATACGTATAATAGTTTTTACCATTTTGAATATAGCCATTAATCAAATGACGTGAGTAGATCGTGCGCTGGTCGCGTTGATTGAAGCAAATTTCGAAAATTGCGTGTCGGTTCTTGTAGTCAATTCCCACTTCATAAAATACGCCATCGCCTGTAGCGCAAGTAGTACCTTTTCTCCATAGCTGAGTGGTCGGTWCCGATTTACATTTCATATTTTGTAACGCATATGTCTTATTATTGTGGAAAAAATTACCATTTTCACAAACCAATGTGACTATCTCTTCATTTAGAGCAAGCACTGTATTGTCCCTTCCAGTACAAAGCAGTGTTATTTTGTCATGCTCAACAATTGTAGTTACTRTGCTAGTAGGTCTGAATAAACCAGTATTCGTCAAAATAATGGGTGTCGGTTGCGGCACATCCCTCGGCATTACAATTGTGCAATGTTTGGCTTCAATTTTAAGGATATATGGAAAAATATAATAGGTCTTAATGAAACTTTAATCTCTGTGTA